TTACAGGTTTTACATTGTAAAAGTTGGTACATATGTCTATTTTGTTTAGAAGTTAGATAGAAAAAATAGGCTGTTATGTGATTTCCTTCAGGCACCTCACATAAATAGCTAGATTGTTTGCAATGACCCACACATTGTATGGAGAAATGTTTGGACATAAAAACGCATCATGTCTCATTATGTTGACAACGTTGTAAGCTCTCGCTCATTAAACATACGATGCTTGATAAAATATATTGAGTTGTTTCTTTGAAATTTAGAAGCGAGCACAATGTTTGCAAAGAAAGGTCCATTACATATGCTATGTCTATCATCGCCAAAAAAATTGAGAGGCTACCCCCCTCCCGAAAATCCTATGTTTGTTTTTCAAAATAGTGTCAAAGATTCAACAATTACTTGCATTACTAAGTATGTGATGGAACATGTACTAGCCTTATAAGACCACTTGTTATAAAAATATTTGGTTTCCCTCTCTCCCGATCTACTGCCTAGAAATGGCCCGACTCATTTATTTACATTCCATTACACAATATTTTTTTCTTTTTCTTCCGTCAACAATTATGTTTAAATTTTAAGGAATTTTTTTCTCATCTATAAATACGGACCCAATAATTTTCCCCTGAGTTGGGAGGACTACCAAACGTCATTTTTAAGATGGTATGAAATATTTAATTATGTTGATTTTTTTTCTTTACTTTGTGAAATTGTAATTTTGACAATATGGGCAAATAGAGATAAAGTTTTTTTTATTCATTAAATCTCCTAACCCACTGATAAATGATTTCATTCCTTTTCAAATGTTGCTCCGCTGTAATGAAAATTGTAAATGCATGTTTATTTGACACAGTATACAAGGGGTGATCAAAAAGTAAACAATATCTTAGGTATTTGATAGTTATATTATTGTTGAAATATTCAAGTATTTTTCAAAGTGTAAATTGGAGGTCTTTGATGGCATATTGCTTAATTAAAAACACATTCCTTTTCAAACTTGCTTTCACCGGGCAACATAACAAGTATCATATTTAACCATCTGCCTTCCTTCACTAAAACGATCTATCCAATCATTGATTAAAATGATAGGAAGTCATTTGTCTTAATAAACTGTGAACAAATTCTTGTACGCTACTTCAAAGGCATTTCTAAGATATACCATAAATATTATAGTCGTTTCTTGAAAGAGCATCGTCGGAACCCACGGGTTTTCTCTCCGTTACACTGAAATGCAGTGTAACGGAGAGAAAACCCGTGGGTTCCGACGATGTTGAAAGAGTTCCACTGAGACAACCATTTTCGTCACAAGTACCTGCATAATGACGCCATTTTCAGACAGTGACGTCACAAACATGGAGCAAAACTTCAGCATATGCTATTTATAGAACTTGTGTTTGGCTATGTTTCTAATCTGAATTGTGGTTTTGTAGATATAGAGATAGTTCGCGAACTTTTTGATCACCCCTCGTAATATATACTAGTAGGTACTAAAACAAGGTCATTCATATCGATTTTATGTGTCTAATTTCTTTGTGTTTCATCGGTGATAATTAAAATTTTGATAGATAATATAAGTTATCTGTGGCAAACCTACAAACTTAATTTTTAACTTTGATGGTGCTCATTTTTCCTTACCTGGAATCAAAGAGTTTAAGATTTTTTTTTATATCAATATGTACACTATTTAACAACTGTTCGATAATAATACTAAATAAATTACTTCAAGCCACACTATAACACCTTTCCTCTTTTAAAAGTGTTCATATTATTTGAAATATTTTGCAACTGTAATTCTCTTCTACATTTAAAGATTGTTATGTCCCTCCATATCAAGAGGAGGTCAGGGCTGCGTTTCACAAAACTATCGTAAGATTGTCCTAAGACAGATCTTACGATCATCTTAAGATCTGACTTATGACAATCGTAAGATTTGTTACTGCTGTTTCACAAAACGATCTTAAGTATTAGAAATCTTACGACAAGTTTTAAGACAAATTCCATTCTCAATATCACAGGGATTTTTATTTAAAATATGTCTTTTTTTAATTTTCTTTGAAATATTGATATAACGTGCGTCTCAGTTTGTTTCTTTTGCAGATATACCCTCGGGGGGGGGGGGGGCATTTTATTGTATCAACTTTAATGTTTTTTGTGTTTGTGAGGGGTCATTAAAATTAAATTTGAATTAATTTCATCACAAAATTTTAATAAATAATGTTTGCTTAAATGTCTCTTTTTTTGGCTCCGGAAATAGTAGTTTCTGACAAAATGCATGTGATTTAGACTACTAGTGTATTTGAAGCTTTGCAAATACATGCAATGAACGATTTTAACAATGACTCCTTTTGAAACACCAAATCGTGTTCAAAGTTTGTTCATAACATTAATTCGATGCAGTTGTCTTTGAAACGCTTCAACTACTGCAACAAAATATCAATGATAACAGATGAAGAAGGGAAACGAAAGAAAAAATTCCAATAGAAATGTTACGGTTTCAATACTATTATAAAAAAAGGCAGAAAGAAAGCCTGTACATTCAGCATCAAATACCCGGGGGTATTACAGCATACTAAATTGTCATACACATTCCGGTGGATTAATGAGGATGACTCAAAAATAAAACTATTTGATTGTTGTGCGGGTGAATGTAATGTTTACTTTGAAATTAAATCACCACAGTTAGAGACATATAAAAACAATTTATATATTGTCTGCCACAATGTAACAAAATAAATTAAAGTAAAATCCATGGACTTTTCAAATCCATAAAAATGCATATGAACTTAAGAAGCATTTGGTGGGTTTTTGTTTGTTTGTTTGTTTTTTTTTGGGGGGGGGGGGGCTATTTCAATTGGGATTGGGCAAAATCAAAGGAAAATGTCTTGGCATGAATAAAGTAAAAAAACATTAAGTATGTTATTTTAGTTTCCTATCGTATATTTTTTTTGGCAAATTATGGGGGGGGGGGTGGGGGGGGGGCTGTGTCATTGTTCTCACTGGCGGATATAGTCCAAAGGATTGTTCTATCTCTAAAAGCCGTTTTCTTTAAATATTCTTTGGTTTATGGCCAAAATATATACTGTCGCAGTTTCACTTAAGATTTAAGACATGTATCTAGTTGTCTTAAGATTATGATAGATCTTAAGATTATCATAAGATATGACAGTTTTGTGAAACGGCTATGTTGCAATCTTACGATAATTTTCGGTCTTAATACAGATCTTAGTCATAAGATAGTTTTGTGAAACGGGCCCCTGGAAAACAAAATTCTGTGCTAGAAATAGACCACGTGCTGCTATCCATGAACTACTTTCATGGTTCTTTACACTCTTTTTGAAGACAACGGTACCTTATTTTGAACTTGAAATTATCATTTAAAAGTGCAAAATTTAGACATTTTCTCAACAAATGGTTGTAGAGAGAACATTAATGCACAGTTTGCATATTTTTTTTGGATTCTTTAAGGCTCTGCTGAATTCTGTAGTTGCGCAGTTCTAAGGAGCATATCAAAAGCATTTTTCTGCAAAAGTATAGATTATATATACACAACATGCATTCAGTTATGCATATTTATTGTATCTTTATCATAAGGACTTGAAATTTGATCAAAATGTAATGCATTTTTTGAAGAAATGTTTACATTTTGTTCTCATTGCACTAAAGGTGGCCGGACATCCCCCTTAACGCGGATCGCCATTAAGCTAGAGCGAAAAGAAGCAGTTAATTGAAAACAATTCTATTATGAAAAATGTGAATCATTAGTGATAAATTTTACGTCTCCTTAACAATTGAAAATCAAATTAATCGGTGGATATCAGTCATTAGGCCTAAATATATTTTCATATTCATACATGTAACATGTCATTAACTATTTGTACTGTAATAATATGTATATGTATTCGTATTTTTTACACGTGTAAGATGGGGGTAAACTTTCCGAGAAAAGAAAATAAAGGTATAAAAGAAATGCCCAAATTTCCATTTGTTACTGAAAGTCCTTCAATTCTTAGGTTGAAATAAAGATAATATTTTTGGAAATCGCCCCGCTTTACAAAAAGTCAAAACGGAATAAGAATATTGATCTCTGCCCGGGAGCTCGAGATAAGATTTATACATTTGTTATTAAAGCTCCTTTTACATTTTTAAACGTATTATAATATTTTTTTATCAAACAGTGATACTAAGGTTCTAGGTATCCAACTAGAATGTGTATACTGTTTAAAATCTAGTTTTATTAGCTTATACTTTAGTAGTGAGTACTCATATCACAATCTGAACTTCATTCTCGTTTAGCTAAACCTCGTTTGTATATCAAATGTTTAAAAATGATAACATAAATTGTATTTATAATTTGGATTCAACGTGTGACATCTAATATCTGCATAGGTGAAGATGAAAATATTTTTTTAACTGGAAAACTGCAAGGAAGAAACATGTCCTGTTTTGACCAAATTTCGTTTAAGCGTTGCATTGTGGGATACATGCTATCAGTTCTTTTTTGGTTGCTTTTAATGAGGTATATTTCCCAGATGTTTGATCAGGGATGTGCCTTGAAGTAGGTCCATTCTTAAGGACATAAATAGCCATTATTGGCCAGTCATCAAAACATATTCCATTCATCGCATGTATGTGATGCTCAATGTTTCTGATTCATCAAGTGATTTTTATTTACAAAATAAGAAGTAGAGTAAGTTTACAATCCTTGGAATCTCTCTAATATATATTTATTTATCTTTCTTTGTAAATTCACGGAATGACAAGACCATCCCTATATATATTTAGTCGTATTTTTTCAAATAATTATGATTCTACCTTGGCAAACATATAATTTCTTCAATTTGGTTTATATGTTAAGGAAAATCAAAGCAAAGTCACTATAGTTGTACTATTGTAAACAGAATAATTCTAGCTATTAGCATTTCCTAGATTATATTTCTGTTGTATAAAAAATGAAGAGTCGTATTGAAAAATGAACATTCAAAGCATATTTAATCAATTAATCTTGCTAGCAGAACATCTTAGGTACATATAGTAATTTTAAATAAAAGAAGAAATGAAATTACAGTTTGAATAACGCCCTAATTGCATAGTTCCTTGTTTCCAAACAGGATATACCTAAAAACAGCACCAATCGTATTGTTCAATTTTCTTATAGTTACTAAATTCCATTGTTGGACTTCCTTCCATCTTTCTCTTTTTTCATAAAGATGAAGTCCGTAGGCGTGTGACCATTTGTAATTTTGGTTGTACAAAAGGTACCGGTGTGGAAAGAATAGGCAATGGTGTTCATGCAAAAAGACATGTTGTGGAAACTGTGTGTAGAGTTTTCTTGCCATCGTCACTGAATTTGCTCCCCATATATTTGGATTATAGGATTTATAACTATCGATCCAAATGTTAATAAATGTTGCATTTTTTCCTGCAATTATTAATGCACTACCCGTTGATCCATCGTGTGCGTTCCCCATGGTGCATTCATTGCTTCTGAATTTGTTTAACGATCTGAGGACGTATTGGTCTGTATCAAGGTATACACCGCCGTATTCTATAAAAAGCAAACAGAAAGTTAATTTCTAAACGTTTAATACTGTAAATCAACTTTTTCGCGAGGTTCGCGAGAGCTACATCATTGCGAATTTTCTCACCGCTAACCGGTCTTTAAACTCTCCGTCTCAATTAACTACAGTTAAGCCTTTCAACTAATTTTTCAAATTGCACATTCGGTAAAAAACAATTCATAGATAGATGTTTGTGTGCATGAAATTATCAAAAACGTTAATAACTTATGAATACCTTTAGTTAAATCATAAAAAAAGTTAAATTATTTATAATTGACTTGTATGATGCTGTGTTTTAAGGACAGGTAACTCAGGTGTGAAAAATGACCAATTAAGTGCCAATTTATGAGTTATCGTTTATAGGAATGGCATATAGGCTGCTCCAGCATTGGTATTGTTCTTTTACACAAAAGTCTTGACCAAAAGAAGGAGAATGTCTCACTTCATTTGAAATAACAAGGTCAAATGAATGGGGAACAGACTATATTCAATATTTTTAACTCTCTTTGACGATTGTTATGAAGAAGAAAATATAAGGTGATGTTTTTGTGTGTGCACTAAAAACTGCGCTTCCTATATAACTAATATATTTTTACAAATAGGTTAGAAATAAAACAGAGGAAAGATTTAACTTTTTATTTTAATTAAATATTTTACTTATATGTAATTAAACGGTGTCCGCAACTATATTGTAAACTAGTTTAACATTAGTGCTAAACTTTAAAACCATTTGATTCTACTGGCAGCAACGAAACACTTGGAAAATTCTAAGAACTGACTTGTGTATAAACAGTTAGATACCTCCGACCTGCTCTAAACAAACTTCAGCAATGAGTTATCGTTCATAAGAGCGAACCCTAGCGGTAGTTGAAAGGCCTGCAACAGTTCAAAATAGGCTTGTTCGCTAAAATTAATCGCCGCGAACTACCTCCCCAGCTTGGTAAATTGCGATATAAAGTCGTCGTGAATAAAAGTTGTTTTTCAGTGTTTCAATACATATATTTTATACATTTTTGCGTGAATAAATTCTAAAGAAAATAGTAGGAAAAAAGGATTGGTACCTTTCAATATCTTAAGTCTCAAGATGTCAGACTTGTGTTCCACCCAATGAATTTTCTTTCCTGCAATTTGGAATGGTGGATTAATTTTTACATACACTATGTTTTTGATAATTTTTTTAAGTACATCCCACCATTTTCCAAAAGGTAAAACGTCATAATAATGAAAAATTAGACAATGATTTTGGTTTTTGTGAGTGCTATAAAAGGTCACAAAATAAATAAACTCAATTTCGTGCTTTCCAAGCCATATGTAATGAACAATGTTGGGGACAGCGAAATTGTCTGTGCAGAATTTGCTGATAAATCTTTTCAGACATTTATCTGGAAACTTAAAAACAGGAACATCTTTTGAATGATTCTTGGAATCCAGATGCACATAATTGTCGGAGCATTTAGGAATCAGCTGTTTTTCTTCTTCTTTTGACTTCGAGAAAATAATTTCATTCAAATCTACGCAAGGAACAGTAGAACAAAATTGCCAGTCCGATCCACCAATTGGTGTAAAATCTGAATAAAAATGATGTCATTAATAGTGAACATAAAATTAAGGAGTTCACCCTTTCCCTAGTGTCTTTCTAATAGTTATTCATTATATTTTTTTATCATCAACAGTATTATCAAATATACATAATTACATGGATTTTTATTATTATTTTTTTGCTTTGCTTTGCAATTATGGTGAATGCTATTTAAAATCTACCTTACTAAAACAATTTTATCTAGTACTGATATTACTTTAAAATCCATTGTGTAAAGTACATGCATACTTGCTCACAAATGTATACTTACTTAAAAATACATCGTTATTTTTCTTTCTGTGCTGAAGATAAAACTTTTTAGTTTCAACATCACAGGAATCTTCTTTGTATTTAACTGACGGTTTATTGGTAAGGTTGACTGCTTTTACTCTCACAGTTGTTTTGTTTTTGAAAAATTGTTGATTTTTCAGAGGGTACTGTTTATTAATATGTAGCATAGGGTTGCGAACGATATTTCTTTCAAATTTCTTTTCCATGTAGGTAATGATTAAAAGAAAAGTAAATCCGAAAAGCAGGTATAGCATGCTAGAATAAAGAAAAAAATTAATAAGTCTAGTATCTATGAAGAGTTCATAAATGAATAGGTTCTATCATGTTCCCCATTTATTACCATCACCATAAAGTTTTTTAAATAAACAATTAGTGCTTCTGTTCTGTATGTAATCATTATTGAAACTCTTACATCTGCCTCTCTTGGTCTTTGAAGATCCCTACATGACGAACTGTTTTTGTCTCATTTCTATTTATGTATTACTTAAAAGTCCATCTGACCTTTAAGACGATGAAAGTACTTTTTGTATTATAAAATTTCTTGCTTAAATTACTTATTTTACAATTTTGAAAGAGACATTTTTACTTTTCATAACAAGCATATAGTTTGTATAAATAATACACAGGGGCAGAGACCATTTTTAAAGAACTGATTATTTTCCCTGTATATTTGCGAGAACTCCGACTTAACACCAGAACCCCTGACCCTGGGAAATTTACATTTTTAAAAGAGCCACTCTTGCTCATCATATCTTTGCATTATGTTTGTTAAAACAGGACCATAGAAAAACAGTTTCAAATAAATAATGCACTTATTCTATATGCTCTACATTGCCCCGCCCTAGCACTAGGACCCCTGACCCTGGGGCCATGAATTTCACAACTTTAGTAGAGAACTCAATGCTTTTTACATTTATGTCACCAGTTTGACTGCTGGATGTCCAGGATTAAACGAATTTTTTTTAAAAAATGCATTAATTTAACTGGCTTTGGCCCCATCCCTCAGGCTCCAGGGGGCAGGGACCATGAAATTTACAATTTTTGTTTCCCTTCACGCATAGATGCTATATGTCAAAATTTTATTGAATGTGGCTCAGTGGTGTATGAGGAAAATCTAATGTTCCAATGTTAACGACCAATCGACGACAAACAAAAACGGATACGCAGCACTGTTAAGGCCTACTATGAAGAAATCAATGGAATATAGACGTGCAAAAAACGGGAACTCTTTAAAACTGAATTTATCTTTATATCATTACATAACTTAAATGCTTACTGAAATAACATAGTGTACCCCACGCTGTACTGTTCTACGTTTGGTCCCATCAATGGATAGTCATGTGATAAATGCATAGTATGTGTACTGAATCGAGGTAATAAACAAATTTCAATTATGCAAGGGCATACTTTGTACTTTCTGGAAAGTGCTGCTGCTTTAAAAAGAATTTGCATTTTATTAGTTAAAATTTCAAGTAAATATGTCCTTGTCGAAATATGTTTGACCTTTACCAAGTTTTTATGTCCTTATTAAGTCACACTCTAGATTTAAAGAAAGCAGCAGCACTTTTCAAGTTAAGAAAATCATGTTTTATTTATATTTAAAAAATGACTAACATCTATTAAGTGTATGCCCTTGCGAAAACGGGATTTAATAAGTCACCTCGATGTTACACATGCCAAACCTGTACACATAAGCATGGTAAAATTAATTACTGTGCTGTGACCTTCAACTCGACATTTAGATATATCGACGACGTATTGTCAATTAACAATGGCAATTTCCATTCTACGTCGATACGATATATCCTGGTAAGCTTGAGATAAAAGATACCACAGCGTCTGACACATCTGTTTCAAACTTAGATATTTAACTTGAAAAAGACGTTAATGGTTATCTAACAACAAACGCAGCACAGTTAAGGTTACAAATGGCAATATCGGCGATTTTTGAAGATAAAAAATTCATACTTTATAAGATGGGCGATTCTTTTTTAGGACTTCACTGGTATCAAAAAAATGTTGAGGATTTGAATCTACATGTTGGGGGCATTTTGATTTTTTATTTAAACTTGTCACGTGATGTCAACGTCACATGATTTTAGGAATTATACTTGCAGTTTAGAGGTCATCGATAAATTCCAATATTGCAAGGGCATAACCAAGTTAAAAATCTCAATTCAATTTATAATCCTTTTCAACACTTTATTTTGTTTGTGAAAAGTGCTGCGAACCTATATAGATTCCCTTTTTTAATTGCTAAAATTTAATTTGTTGGACGACAGATTGAATATATTGCTGGTCAACTACATTAAATATAGCAATAATTAATTTATTTACAAGATTTCACGAGGTTCGCAGCACTTTTCAAATAGCTTAATGCTTCTTGAGTTTATGTGTAAAAACTTGTCAAGATACACTGAGGGTATGCCCTTGCAATAAATCGATTTATTAGGGCCCTTCCATTACTTTTTTAATGAATCTGCATACAAACACACGACAGTATCACCAGTCTGAGAATGTACGGACAGTTTATTAATAAAATACTAAAATATACATCGCATCCAAGTAAACGGCCTATATATTTAATTGCAAATAATATTTTTATTTCAGAACAAAAGACATTTTTCATTGTACAAAATTTGACTTGATCAGCCTCCCACTGTGTACAAACTGCGTCATTTTTACGAGATGACGTCACATTGACAAGTGCATTGTGATCGATGATCGTTTATATACTGTTGTGGGGGATTTAACAAACGACAAAACTACATGTAATAGTAAGTTTGTATGTAGTATACAGGTATCCAGCTGTTTGAAATAGCAAATAATTTCATTTTGTGGTATTTTGAAGACCTGATATTATGTGTGACGTCATAGTAAACATTTCCCGTACAAATTAGGCCCCGCCTCCTTACTTTAACCTTAACTGTGCTGCGAAGTTATATGATAAACGTGATGACTTTAACTATTCTATCGTCAGCTTCCGTTACTTATGCAGCAATATACCTTCATCACCTACAAACGGAGTATACATATCTCATCTGATTCGATACGCAAGAGGATGCTCTGCTTATATGAACAATTTCTAAAACGAGGTAAATTATTGACAAGCAAGTTGATGAAACAAGAATATCAACAGTCTCGCTTAAAGTCAACATTTCCTAAGTTCTATGGTCGATACAATGACCTTGTCAGCAAATATAATTTATCATTGAGTCAAATGCTGACTGACGTTTTTCACACTAATTGTTAGTCCATTATTTATACACTGAATTGACGACGGATTTTCCGTTATTTCCTGATCATGACAAGGAGCACACGACGGGTGTGACCGGTCAGCAGGGGATGCTCACTGCTCCATGGCACCTGATCCCACCTCTGATGTTTTGAAGGTTCGTGTTTGCTCTGTTTCTGTTTTGTATTATTTTAATGACTTTGAGATTACATACTGTTCTTTATCTTCATATCCTCGCTAATCATAGATTAATAGCACTAAACACCTTTAGCAGTAAAGGTTTTACATTGATTTTAATAGCCTATCTAAAATCTGTAAATAATATTCTGTTTAATAATAAAATTCATTTTACATTGTGAAAAATATACTTGATCTGCCATTCACTTCACATAAATTACGTCATTTTTACCAAACTGACGTCATGTCGTCATGTCGACAAGTTTGCTGCGATCAGTGATTTGTTTATAAACTGTTGTCTGGGATTTAACTAGCAATTAGTCTTAATGCATTGATAAGTTTTGATGTTGGTTATGCTAATTAAGGAGTGAAGCTTATTTCAACTTATATTATACGATATAACATAACTTGGGGCAGTTTACGCTTTATAAACCGCGAAGCGGTTTATAAAAAAGCGTAAGCTGCCCCAAGTTTTGTTATATCGTATAATATAAGTTGAAATAAGCTTCATTCCTTATAATTTAATTTCAGTGCAGACAATGAGACAATTCCCCCCCCCCCAGAATAAGGCTTCACATTGATTAAATTTTAAAAGTGACGTCAAGCGGAGTAATACGTTTTTTGACGTAATTCATTGTGACGTAGGCAAGTTATGTTATACAAAATGGATAAAATCTTTCATCCAATCAAATGACGTGTTACAAGTAAAATTAAATTATTACTGTAACAGTTTAAAATTGCAAATTATTTAGTTTTTTTGGTGTTATGAGGAATACAAAATGTACCTATTGTTGTGAGACAGTAAACATTCCCCGTATAAATTTAGCCCCGTTCCCTTTTTCAATCCTTAACAATGCTGCGTAGTAATAAAAAGACTAAAACGACAATGTCATTTAGCATAGCTACATCGGGAACAGGTTTTCATTTTTCTTTTGATTTTAAGTCAGAGTGGTTCAACATTAAAGTCAATCAATTGCTGGAAGACTACACGTCTATTTCTTACGAAAAAAATTATTGAAGACACAAATACCTTTACATCTAGAATAAAAGATCTATAAATTATGGAACATCAGTGATGCATGAAAGATCATCGTTCCGTTAAGCAATATATTAATTACAGTCCAAGAAGTCATTTATGCCAGATAATCGGTCACATTATTATCCCGAAATTCAAAGCTGACTTGGTAAAAGTTACTTTTACTACAATTGTTTTTATTACGGTTCGTTTTACTTTTTTTTCATTAATCGTGAGGTTCAGAAATCAGACTGAGTGCACATCAGCAATTTAATACCAAATACTTAACAAAACTATGCTATCATTTTGATACACATAAAACAAGAAATCAATCCAAATCAAAGAATTATATAAACAGCTTTCTCAAAAAACTTACCCTTTTGCAATTGGTGTGAAAAACTCCTTGCTGATTTCTGAGTGCATCTTGTGTGTCTTTAACGGAAAATAATATGATGGTATAAATTGTTGTTATCATTAAAATTGTACACAAAAAATCAAAACATCATTTAATCTAAAAAGCAAATTTTTCAGAATACAAAAACACATGAATACCAAAGTTAAATTTGCTATCGATATAAGATTTTTTTTTCAATAAAATCAGGACGAAGAAATCTGTGTTGATTATTAAACTTTATCTGTAAATAAATGCACATAAAAACACTAATTCTTTTATTTTTATCTATACAATAAATTCCTTTTCCCTTGTTATTTTACGCATAAGAGCGTGTCACAACTGACCTCAAGTTGTGATGGATTCGTTAAATCAGAATTTACAAACCAAAATAAATAATATTTTGTAAGACCTCCTGTATACCGAGAA